GAGGGGGTGAAATTGCCTGCCTTCCACCTCATGGGGAGAAAATATCCGCCTTTACTTGTGTTTGTCGAGATGCACATCAAGGACATGCAGCATTTTTCCCTCCCACACAAAAAAAGTTGTCGATTGCCACTTTCTCTGGAATGGGATGTGGGGGGCGGGGGGGAATTGCCATAATCGGCAGTGGATGTGATGTGGTGTCATTATAATCGAAATGAGGACTGGAAGTCTCATGGTAAAACTCATTCAGTACCAGCCAATTCTGGACCAAATCTGAAAAGACGTTTAAAAACGTCTTTGGGAGTGAATGAGTTAAAGGGGAAGTCAACCCCAAAATTTTCTTGACAAAATGTTCTATGCGCCTTCACGAGTCAAAACACGGCATTCTACTTTGGTGGAAAAAGCAGCAAAATCCACCAGTTTTTAGCTATCTCAGAGGGGCGGCCATTTTGCCACTTTCTGCCGGCTGAGAATGAAATCACAGTTGCTCAGGGCTCAGGTAATAACCAATCATGGCTCACCTGTCTTCTGAAGCTGACCCATAATTGGTTGTCACCTGAGCCCAGAGCAAGTGTGATGTCATTTTCAGTCGACAGGAAGTGCCAAAATGGCCGCCCCTTGAGATGGCTATAAACGGGTAGGGTTTGTTGCGAAATTAATATTCCACAAACGCAATATGAATCAGAATGCCGCGTTTAGACGAGTGGGGCTGCATAGAACATGTTCTTGTTCAAAGAATTTTTGGCTTGACTTTCCCTTGAAGTAGATTAATAATTCAAAACTTAAAGTCATATTTGTGACATGTAGCCTGTCATAATTGGAGTGAATTTCATCATATCATGTATTTGGGAAGACAAGTGGGGGTAATAGTTTTGCTCCGCAATGGGAGTGATTCGAGTCACATTGTGGTTTGAAAGCATCACATCTTCCCATAATTGGAGTGAACTTAATTGCATGGCATCATCACGAATTTTTTGGAATTGGAGTGAACCGTTGTTTTGTGGCATAATTGGACTAAAATGTCATTTGAATCAATCGTATCATAGTTGGATTGAATCACGTTGTATCATAATTACGAGTAATATTTTGCTTGGTAATTGAAGTGAATCGTGATGTAATTGGATTGAATCATATCATCGTGCCACATTTAACCATAATTGTCATAAATTATATTGCTTGGAATCGTAATTTCAACGATTAGAGTGAATCCTATTCTGTCCTATTGTATCGTACATGGAGTGAACCGTATCGTCGTTGGAATGGATCATATCTTAATTGGCGTCGATTTTATCGTAAAGTATCCTATCCAAGTTACAGTGAACCTGATTGGATTTAACTCTTTCATGCACCAATAATGATAACCCGATAACCCGACAAGCTGTCCGCTGTAGTAACCGCTGTCCCTGAAAGGATGGGAAACGAAATGACAGCCGCATCAGTTTTGGCATCCATTTCACACCTGCAGCTTCATTTGTGCAGCCGCACGCCAACATCTTAAGCCGTCCGACGTGTCGCCGGCACGTACCCCGCTCAAGTGTTTTTGCGGTGAATGCCATCCGTCCCCGCGTTCATTTCCTTTAGGTGGCCCTGAGAGCTTTTGTCGCCATGGCAAATAAAACACAAGACAAAAAAGCCAAAGGCGATATGCGCAGCCGCTGCTGCGTCCAGATTATCCGGAGGGCTTGTTGGACCCCGTCGATGCACCCGTGACATATTCATTGGACAAAAATTAAGAGGGGAACTGGAGGACCCTCACGAGTGATCCAGATGAAAGGAAGAGTAAATGTGTATTCACCCCACGCTGATAAATATTCATATGTGTCAGAGGTAAGGATCTAATCAAGCGCCCATTGATGCATCATAGCTGGCTTAGTAAATGAGTTTCTATGCGGAAATGAGACAGACAGCCTCGTAGACCCCTGAGCTGGCCCTGATCACCAGGCATGCTGAGATGGATGCTGCCTGTGCATCGCGGGACGGTTGCCATTGGCAACAGCCGTCACCCGCGCCGTAGACTCCCATCATTTTGCTCCGTTTGTCCCTTTTGGTGTCTTTCTTTGCCCATCTGTCTCGCTTTTTATATGCCTCATCTTGCTCGATCGACATAGTCTCTTGATATTCTCCTCTATTATAGCGGATTCATTCATCTGATTCCACCACCACCTCCCCCCCTTTTTAAAAATTTTTATTTTTTTTTAACCCGCGCCGTAGACTCCCATCATTTTGCTCCGTTTGTCCCTTTTGGTGTCTTTCTTTGCCCATCTGTCTCGCTTTTTATATGCCTCATCTTGCTCGATCGACATAGTCTCTTGATATTCTCCTCTATTATAGCGGATTCATTCATCTGATTCCACCACCACCTCCCCCCCTTTTTAAAAATTTTTATTTTTTTTTTATTTTATCTTATCACAGTGACTTTTATCTCGTTCCTATCCTTGCTTCCCTTTCATTCATTTAGACCCACACTGACTGATTTAGTGCACTTAGCGGCGGGGGCTGTGTTTGTCATATCAGGCCTATTTGTAGATAATTAGCTGCAATAATAGTCCCTTTGCAGGAGAGGGGGCG